TGGCAAGACTTTGGCACCTTGAGCTTTCATCAATTAATTGAATTTCAAACAATAATTGTAACTTTGAACATCAAATTAAGTTCTTCGAATATGATTATATGACTGCAAGAAAATTGAAACCTGAGATGTACCTTTAGAAATGTTTACTTTGACCTTTTCACTTAAATCATAACCTCAAACAGTTCTCTTTTCCACAAGCAATTACAAGTTTGAATGATGCAACTCAAAACGAATCACACTTCAAACAGTGCAGGTATATCAATATGTGTCAGGCATACAGACAGACAATGATCAAAGAAACGAACACAACAAAAACCTTGTCTTATTTCTCGCTCTCTGCAGGAAAGACAGGCACATGACTTTCTTCATTCCAAGACAAATAGCTTGGTGGCACAAAAAATAAAACTTGATTGAAATTCTTAAAAAATACATCAACATTACCAATAAATAGATAAAAAGCCAAAATATATAATCTAAAAATAGTACATCTCACACTGATTTTTAGACTACAAAAATCATAGTCATAAAATATATAATACAATTTTTATAACAATGAACTCCCTAAAAATAGCACATCTTATGCTGATTTTTAGACTACAAAAATCATAGCCCAAAAGTATGCAATAAGTGACATAATAATCAACAATCCAAAAATAGCACATCTTATGCTGATTTTCAGACTACAAAAGGATAGTCCAAAATAACAATATCTAAAAATAGCACTTCTTGTGCTCATTTTTAGACTACAAAAACCATAGCCTAAAATAACAAGATATATGTTGGAACTAATTATGATTGATTATATGAGGTTAATAGGGCCTTTAAAAAAACACACACAGCAAACACCAAAAAAATAGCAACTTCTACATCATGAAAACAAATATGTACAAAATCATAAAAGGGAATCTCAAATGATAACATCTATAATAGCACTAAATTTGTGAAGCAAACAGAATAATTAATGAAAACAATCTGAAATACTGTGAGATCTTACTTGATATCAAAAAGGTCAAAACTTTTATGTCACATTCCAAATAATGACTGAAAATATAAAGGTGATACCAGTAAATTAACCAAAGATCATTTCAATCATTAAACTTGAATAAAAAAACAACTTATTACATTCTGTAAACGTACATCAATATTAGCAGATAAAATATTTTATCACTTTTCACTCTTAAAGCATTGTGCTAATTAATCATTGAAATTTCTGCATATTGTTTTCTATAACATATATTCTGCGCTTTTGAATCCTTGATGTGCTTGTTGAGATTTGCTAATGTCATGTTATACATCTTTTACAAAGATAGGAACATACATAACAATAAAAGATTGTCATAAACCCCCCTGATACATTTTCTGGGTGTTTTTTTACCCGATATGTTTTTGTTGGAAAGTGGGGCTGTCAAATTTATATCATTACAGTGTAACTTATAGCAAACCTGAGTTAGAAGCTTGATATCCAGCTTTACCAAAATGTCAATGTAAAGAATCGAAACCATAAAGACAATTCTCTAATGTCAGATTTGGTCCCCATGGTGTGATGGTAAGCTACTTTGTATAGTTTTCACTGTGAAATAAATGGTCTATATCCTACTTTACATTTTACACATGAGTTTTGTTAGAGTTGTTCCCCTTTAGAATTCTTATGATCTAAAGAGGTATTGAGACAAATGGCTATGGCTGAACACAAAACACAAATACTTTCAATAAAATGATACTTATATAATAAAGCATAAATGTTTAATGCTCTGTAAATCACTTCGCTTAAGCAAAAACTTAATTTAACGACATTATTTTTTAGATTTAACAGTTTTGACTGTTAACCTAGACAAAGACAGGATTATGAGATGATTCAGTTTACTTATGTTGGGCAGGAGAACTCTCCCAATGGTGATATTTGAAATTAAAATCCTTTTTACTAAGATATAAATGATGTATGTGCATCCCTAAGGTAAGTGGTTTCTGAATATTTGGATTCACGTAAGAAACTATAGAAGATATAATATATATCTTTTATTGAAATACATTTGTTAATTTATTTTTAGATTTTATCGAAATAAATACATGTACATAATTTTAAGAATTAAAACTCATGATGTTTGACATGCAAACAATTTGTATGCGAAATTTTAGTGATTTACATTACGCCGAGACAACGAAAAAACATTAAATCTAGATCACATAACAGGTGTGTTAATTAAATCTGGATCACATAACAACAGGTGCGTTAATTATATCTGGATCACATAACTACAGGTGTGTTAATTATATCTGGATCACATAACAACAGGTGTGTTAATTATATCTGGATCACATAACAACAGGTGTGTTAATTATATCTGGATCACATAACAACAGGTGTGTTAATTATATCTGGATCACATAACAACAGGTGTGTTAATTATATCTGGATCACATAACAACAGGTGTGTTAATTATATCTGGATCACATAACAACAGGTGTGTTAATTATATCTGGATCACATAACAACAGGTGTGTTAATTATATCTGGATCACATAACAACAGGTGTGTTAATTATATCTGGATCACATAACAACAGGTGTGTTAATTATATCTGGATCACATAACAACAGGTGTGTTAATTATATCTGGATCACATAACAGGTGTGTTCATTAAAACTAAGACTTGCTGAGAGAGGTTTTAACAGTGACAGAAGCTGATCCTCGTTACCATTACTGTGTCTGTGAGACCTGGCTTTGCCTGGATGCCTGCTGTACCTGGCACCATTGAAATGGTAATCAAGACCTATCACCAGCTGTATCATTTGGGATGAAATATGGTGACCTAGTTGTAGACATCCTATCCCTTGTAATATTGAACTTTTATGAGGTTGGAAATTTGTTTAATTTGCTTTTGTTAATGTTAGACAAACCTGAGATGAAAACTTGAGGTATCTGTAAATATAAGGCCAAACAAAAAATATAATCTGTTTAGGGTTGCATTGGCAAAAAAACAAGGGTAGGTAGGTCAGATTTTTGTGTGTGATTATGACCCTACTATTGTATGTAAAACAAAGAATTACATAAACAAGGTTCATTTTGAGGCAAATTGTGCTCCATATGATGACATTTAGCGCCAACACGGAGCTGGAAACCATTTTGAAAGGCAAGGAACCTTCTAAAATTCGAAAATCAGCGGGTTTTCATCAAAATATTTTGGGTCAGCGGTAAAAAGCTAGGGTCGGTTGGGAACCCTGAACAGACACCTTCTTTTTTTTGGCCTAATGGATATGTTGTATACAGTACTCGATTTATTGGTTTTTCAACCTATAGTAACAGTACCTTATGTATTTAAGGTTCATGACCTTGAAATGTGAGCTTGTTTGTGGCAATTTGTGGACTGAAATCAGAGCATCAACAGCTATATGGATTTATCTTTTTCAAGTAATGGCAAAATGCCCTAAAATAAGGGCAGCATACTGCTAATCATATACTTGTCTACAAAGAAAAAAATATTTTCTAAACTGACAAAAACTGTAAGACATACTAAACAAGAGGCCCAATGGGCCTGCATCGCTCACCTGGTAGAAATCTCGCATTTGTAACCTTAAAAGTGATCTAAAATAAAACTACAGGCAAAATATCAGTATTTATGATTAAAATTCATTCAAAAGACCCTGTTAATTTTTTTTAAAACATTTCACCCTTGTGATTGAAAGTCGAACAAAGTCATTATGTTGAACAAATTTTATAGCCTTTCATCTCAGGATGCAACTTGCAAAGTATCAACATCCTGGGACCAATGGTTATTCAGAAGAGGTCGTTTAAAGATTTTAAACAAATTTGACCCCTGTGACCTTGAATATAAGTCAAAGTCATTCACTTTAACAAACATAGTAGTCCTTGATCCCAGCATGCTACTGACTAAATATCAACATCCTGAGCCTTTTGGTTATTCAGAACAAGTTGTTTAAATATTTTGAACATATTTGCTCCTTGTGAC